TCAGAATTCATGGCTGTTTACCAGTTTGCTGGGTATTTGGGGCAGGATGCTCAGCTTCTTCAGCAGATGCTGTAGGGTTTTGCTCTGGAGGATCTAGAGGGGGCAGAAGCAGCGTTGGGTGGTTCGGGGTATCCCACCCGTGTGAGGAATCACTGTTTGCCTCCACTCGTACTCTGTTTAGTCTACATGAAGCGAAAGAATTACCATTCCCGTTGAGATGTAGGAGAGAAATCCTCTCTATCTTGGCAATGAGGATGGTCACCAGCGCTGAGAAACCAAATCATGTCATCTTTTGCTGAATCGGGTTGTAAGATCTTTGACCTCTCTGGCCAGTGGATGTAAAAAGTATGCTGAGATGTCTCCTTCAAATCCTCTTCTTTGGAGTTATTCCAGAACCCTGTCATCTTTGGGTGAAACGCCGCTACCAGTTTAAGGCAAGACCGAGTGGTTTTGGGTCATGCAAAACTGAAAGCGGTTCAACTTCTGTTTCCCTCCGGGACCTCAAGGTCTCTACCCTTTTAAACTGCTGCTGTTTCTTAGGGACATAGCTTGAGAAAAGTCTCGCTGAAGGCCATGCTGGAAATGATGCGCAAGAGTTGTTTCAATCTGTTAAAGACATAACTGACATGGCTTTGCAGGTTTGTCAGAAGTTCTCCCCGGGGAAGCAGCGACCACGCTGCTGAACGCACCGGGCTGACCGGCTGGAGCTGCTGGCAGGAGCCGTGCTTCCGTGGCAGGGTGGGCTGTGACCCGTGGAATTTGGGATAGATCCCCGGGGCCTTTGCAGTGAGCCGGGTGCCTCCGGAGCCTCCGCTGGAGGAGGTGGAGCGGGCGGCTTCCCCGTTCCCCAGCAGCGCCGGCCAGTCACCGCGTCCCTTCGAGACAAATGTGTTCATGGCATATATGCAAACAAGGGTCAAAGAGGCTACATACAGTGTCTTCACTCCCCAAACTGGTACGAAGACCAGTGAACTGCGAAAGAGAGGCTGCTCAGACTGTGTTGGTGTTATTTCCGTGCAGGTGGGTTTTTCAGGAAGCTGTGAGCCGGTTTGTCCCATCGGAGCTAAGGAGGGCTCTGGTGGCAGCAGCCCCCTCCTGCCCCCTTCCCACGGGCACGGGCCCCCCCGGCTCCTTGGAGATGGTGGCTGTTGCTCCGAAAGCGTTTGCTGTGAATCATCCTGTCTCTAAACTCGCCTGTGGGAAGCTTTTTCTCTTCCGTAGCGGGGTTGGAAGCACCCACGGACAGCGCCAGCAGCTCCGGCAGCCTCGTGCCTACGGCTTTCGGCACCCGGCGCCGCAGGGGTCGAGCCCCTTGGCGTGAGGGGTCCCTGCCCTGGCCCCCGGGGCTCCCTCGGGCAGCCCGAGCTCTGGGGATTGCCTCCTGGCTTCTGCAAAAAAACCTGATAAAGCCCCAGGTCATCCCCTCCGCTGACCCCTCCAAACGGCACCTGCGCGGGCGCAGCGAGCTGGCTGGAACACAGGCTGAGGCTTATCCCCTGTATGATGCACAAATGGCTATTTAATTATTTACAGGCTGACATATATCATTTAATACATAAAGCTGAAGCATCTACCAGCCCACAGGCAGAATGGCTGAAAGCAGCCTGCTTGGCACCGTGTTTTAACTGAAATCCCTCGGTGCTAGCTTTGTTTTGCATAGCACTTTGTAATACTGTTAGTTGACTTGGCTGCAGTTTCACAAAGCATTTTTTTTCCACTTGGTTCAACACTCACTTGAATTTAATGGGACTGGAGCCAAATAAGTAATGGAAGCCAAGTGCCGACGTTTGTTTGGTGTGCAGTTCCCGACAAGGAATATATATAGTAATTGTCTTCTTGCTCCTCAGAGCTGTAACTTTGGCAGAGGGGATACTTGACTGAGCATGCCAAGTATTTAAAATCATAATCAGCCAGTGATGAAAACATGTATTTATGGCTATAATGAGTTGCATCAAAGCAAGAAGCATTTGTCTTCTCTGTAGAAGTAACAATGTCTCTTAATTCAGAAATGCCTACTTTTAAATCGCACAAAGACCTGTCAGAGTCAAAAAGCTCTGAGAGCTTGCCCTGAATGTCTGGCTTATTTCACAACAGTGCCCTTAATATTCACTTCCAGCTGCAGTTTCAGCCATGGTTACTAGGTTCTGCATCGAGGCACGATAAAGAAATGCTGCAGCGTTTTATGCACTTGAGGCACTTCACTGAAGTGTCCTGTAACTCCGGGCTTGCAGCTAGATTTCGTTTGTTTGATGAATGCTTCATTTTATTCTGTCCTGCTGTTTCTTTCTGGCATATCAGTGACTTGTTCTTTTGGGGGGGGGGGGGGGGCTGCTGTAATGCGTGAGCTTTCTGTGGTTCCTGGAGGGCTGCCGGGTGCAGCGTGGGTTTGAGATGCAGCAGTATCTCCGAGGCGCTTGGGCTGTGGGTTGCCAGCGAGGGCAGGTATGAATCTGGGAGAATTCCTGCTTGAGCAAATCCCTTTCCTTCCAGCTCACCCTTCATGCCAGCATCGCTGCTACTTTTCAGCTAGAAGAAACCTATTGCTGTCAAAAAGAAAAAAAAAAAAAAAAAAAAGAAAAAAAAAAAAAAAAAAGGAAAAAATGCAGTTTATAAACAACTGCTTTTTAATAACTTCCTCCCGACTCGCACGTTGAGTCATCTGTCCCCTGCCTGGAGGAAGGAGCGCGGATGTCATCTTTCTAATGAGGTGGCACGTTGGGGAAGATGCTGCGCAGGGTTCCTGGCTTGGGTCCCAAAAAGCAATCGAGCTGCTGTTGTGATGCTGCGTCCAAATTACAAGGGAGCCAGGTCTGAATCATCTGGGCGTAGCGCGGGCGGATGCCGGCGCGCGGAGCCCGGGGGACCCGGGGCTGGGGGTGCCTGAGTGGGTGTCGCTCGCTTTTGGGTTGTTTTTCTCCCCGAAATACTCTGGGGTTTGTAGGTAGGGTGTTACTGCTGGAGGTTGCTGGTGGGCTGTGATGGGTTCGGGATGTCCCGGGGCCGTTTGTCACCGCCAGGATGGTGACAATGACAATGGGAACAGAGCCGGCGGGCTGGCCGGGTATCCCCAGCGCTGCGGGGCCACCTCGGCGCCTGTTCTCTGCAGGTTTTCACAGCTGTGATTCTATATGCCCGGGTAGCTGTGATTCTGTGTGTTGCTTCTGTTTTAATTCATAGTACAGGGGCGTTCCATTGCTCGCCGCTTGCATTAGAGCATTTTGACATAGTTAGGTTAAGCTTGCACTTACATTTTTGAATTTCAAGCCTTATTTTCATTTTCAAAAGGGCTGGGTAGTTTGGGGTTTTCCACAAATGTGTCATTTCACCAACTTGTATTGCATAACTTCAGTTTCTTCAAATTCCAGTGAAAACGGACATCAAGAAAACTCTTTTAACAGCTTAAAGAGTTAACCTGCCCCATCTGCTTCACAAAACCTGTGAAGCTGGAAGGAATTCATTACAGCATGTCCAGTGGTACCTTCCTGGTCATACTTCAGAAAATAGGACAGTTCTGGTTTAATTGCAGTGAGATTTATTGGGTGTCAAAGCGCGAGTTGGCTGTTGTGCGAAAAAATACTTCTTTCTGTGACAAAGTGTTATAGATCCATACAGGACAGGGGAATTATCGACCTCCTGGTTGCTGGACTTTGTGACCCGTGGAAGCCCCTCGGATCATACTGGGAAGATGAGGAACCGGAGCAGCTCCAGCTCTGCTTGTCCCTCTGGTTTGCCAGTTCTGTGACGCATTAAAATAACATTAAAATATTCATTTCCCAAATGATATCGGAAAACAGGGTAGTACCGCTGTCAGAAGAAGCCTTTGCGTGGCAGAACTGTGTTGAAGATGTATTTGGGGTTTTTAAAAGCCTTTCTCTCAGATTTGGAGGCGGTTTATGCTGAAATTCTGGCTGAAGGTGGAATGCCTTCCTGTCCTGCCTTCCTCCCTATTGGTACTTCGGAGTTGGACTGTTCCCTCACCAATGTAAAGGCCGAGCGGTACACTCCATAGTTTTAATTGTCTGATCTGGGATGATACCTCTGTCCTGACAGAATGAAAAGGGGCCTCTTGTGCACGTGCACAGAGCCCTGCCGCTGGCTGTGGTGATGGAGGCAGTGCAGAGTCTGGGGAGCGTTCCAGGGCCAAGATCTCTACTCGGCTCCTTTTCTCCCGTTATCCTAAACCCCCTCCCCGCTGTGGCTAGGGGAAATAGAGAGACAAATCTAATAGTCATTACTTCACGCCTGACTTAACAGCCAAAGGAGGAAACACCTTCCTATGCAAAACATTTCTCTCCAGTTAGCAGCGGCGGGTGAGCAAGGATCTTTGGAGCACCCCGGGGGTGGGCAGCTTACCCCCTGTTTTCCACGTAGGGTGTTTTGGCGAGGCTGGGACGGCTCCCTCGGCAAGTTTGCAGGCTTGCAGACGTTGGGGGACGGCCCTGGGCTGGGTTAGATGCAAAGCGGTGCTGCTCTCCCCCATTACCCAAGGCGTCTTAAAAGAGTTGTGTGATTCAGCAGTGGGAAAAGCCTTCCTGCCCAAGGAAACTGCGCGGGGTTCAAATCACGGCGGTAAGCCCTGCCCTCCTCTGCGGGACCACAAGGTTTAGGATTAGTCCGTCCATCTAGGTTTGTGATACGGGCACAGGCTTTGCACGTGGATTTGCTCGAGTGAGCAGACGAGAAGGGTGTATGCACAGAGAAAGATGCCAGCAACTTTCAGTATGATTTTGGTGTGACTGAGGTATCTGAGACTGAACTGGCAGATTCCAGCTGCTTCAGCTAATCTAATTTGATCCCACTACAAAGTCAGTAATACGTCTGTAGATGGAATAAACTTAATTACTTAACTGCAAGATCAAGGAGCTGTGAAGGAGAATCATTTGATGCATTTGTTTTAAATTGCCTTCAAATAGTTGAATGGGGAGCTGCATATTTTGGTGGGGAAGCCACTATATAAGATATCTAAAGATGCTAAAAATGTGGTTCTCTTCCATTTACAGCTCCCAGCCCCACTACAGCTGTTCCTTACATGTCAGTGAAGTGCATTGATGTAAGAAAAAACCACCACAAAACCAAGTGGCTGATGCCCTGGGGACCCAACCACTGCGAGAAGCTCAAAGACTTCGACGAGGCGGTGAGCCGGCAGATCGAAGCCAACGATATCGTGTTTGCCGTGCACATTCCCCTCCCCAGCAAGGAGATGAGCCCCTGGTTCCAGTTCATGCTTTTCATCATGCAGCTGGACATCGCGTTCAAGATGGACAATGACCTGAGTAAGTCACTCTCTGTCGTTCGTTAGGTGCTGACTATGGTTTGATTTTTTTTTTTTTTTTTTTTTTTTTTCCTTCTTTTTCCACCCCCCGCAATGCATTTCTCTTAAAGTTGCTTTCATCTTGCACCATATGTTAACTGCTGGGGTGCCGCCGTACGGCGAGGTGATACAGGAGCCCGCTGGGGAGGTGGGAATCAGCACCGAGGCATTTCAATATATATCTTCGCAGGGAGAAGCTGTTTGCGCTGCGCTAACGAGTAGCTGAGCAGATGATGAGCGAGCTCCCTGTTAAAGCACGCAGACCATCCGCAGCGACGCTGCTCTCAATCCAGCAATTGGCTTTCACGGGGTTTCACGTAGTTTTTCAAGCTGTTCCGGGATGCTGAGTGCACGGCTCGCACGGCCCAACCCTTCCAGCCGCTCGTTCCCATCCCGTGGGGCGTGCTGGCTCGGCGTCTGCGAGGGGGGGGGGGGGGCAGGGTGTTTTGCCAGTTGATGGGGTTAACACAAAGGACACAGACACCAAGCTAAAGAAATAGGATTATTTTACTTTAGTTTAAAGCAGCAGAAAGAAGCAGCAAGGTAACGCACCTAGTCATTGCTACGTAAAGCTGGCTATAGTGATTAAATAAGATCCATCACCAATTACCCTCCTACTTTACCACCCCCCCGCCCCGTGCACCAGCTGGGGAGCCCCGTCCCAGCGAAGGGTCGCAGAGCCTTTCTCAGAAATTGGGAAGTCCCACGCAGGGCGTCCGCTCGTAGGTGAGGTCTGTGTCTGTGCTGGGAGAGGGCCCGGCTTTTGTACAGTTTGACAAAAAAATTTGTACAAAATGCACGGGAGATAGCTGGTAGATTGACATGCATGGATCTGGCCGGGATCCGGGCATGCCTGAGGAGTTTCTGTTTTTCTTTACATTTAGGATTTATAGTTAGTTGTTTACTTATAGTTCCCAGGGATTGTTCCCAGCGTTGCATTTTCACACTGATAAGATGCCGGTTGCTGGTCGGGGGATTCACTCAGAAGTCAGCTTTGGTTTGAGGCCGATTGTTTGGGCCTTTTTTGTTCCACGGGGCCAGTGCTGGAGGTTTTGCTGGCGCGGGGACCTCGCGGCTGCTGGGGCCGCGGCGCCGCCTTCGCCTCGCCGTGCTCTCGTCTGGGGGTCTGGCTCTGCGCCGAGCCGGTGAGAAGCAGTCTCGTGAGGTCCCTTTGTTTTTACAAACATCTCCGCCCCAAAAAAATCCTTCGCACCAAGTCTCGAACCGGTTAGGGGTTTCCCAGTGCCGAAGACTTTAAGCCGGGCTCCTCCGCGCCGTGTTTGCCGAGCACGTTTGTGTGGCGAGGTTCTAAACTGCCAGCCAGAGCACCCAGGAAATGAAATTACTGCTCTGTAAGTTTCTGAGAAGCTCATAAGAAGGAACGCTCATGTCGTGAGTTTTTAAAGACGCGCTCTCCGTTGGGCACCAGTTGCAGAAGAGTTGCTGTTTATTTACTGAGCCTTTGTCCTAATAATAGCTTCTTCAGTTTGAGGTTGGTGAACCGAAATAGTTGCCCTGCCTTCCATCGATCGCTGTGAAATAGATTTTTTTTTTTTTTGCTAGGATTTGATATGTGCAGATGGAAAGTACCTTCTGGCCTTGAAACTACAGTGGAAATTAACTGGAAAACTGTACAGGTACAGGAACAGTGGAAGACGCTGTCTTACCGGGATTCACTCATAGTGCCTGGAAGAAGATAAAACATGCAAAAAAAAAAAAAAAACAAACCCCCCAAAAAAAACCAGAAAAAAACACCAGAACAGTACCAAAAAACCCTCAAACTCACAACTAACCCTGTAAAAAATCTGCAAAATTATGTCAGGAGCAGCAAGGACAGGAATGATCTGCCCCTTACTGAAAGAAGAGTTGTACGTGTGTTTTAAAGTGTTCTGGAAAAATCCCTCTCTCTAACAACTATAACCTCACAACGAATAAACAATTTACTTTTCAAACTGGTCTGAACTGGGGCTTCTGCAGTTCCTCCTGGCTGCAGCCTGTCTGTTGGTCTGGCTCTCGCGTTCACGTAACCATGCGGTGGGTCGGTTCAGGGAGCAAATCTGGTTTAGAAACTGGCTGCCGGGTTGGGGACGTGGTCTAGCAAAGTGCTGGGGCTTTGCGTTTCCTCAGCTGCCTTGCCTGCTCAGCGTGGGCCTGTTCCTTCCCGGCTCTTTAATGTGTCCTCGTTAAGATAAGTGAAAACTGAGATTGTCCAAAGCTTACATACGTATTCTTATCCCTATAATTATCTCTACAATAACAGAGAGTAGCTCTGTAACTTTATTAAGCCCTCAACTTCTTAGACTTCAATAGGTGATTGCATTTAGAGAAATAACGCTTTGTTCCGAGGCTTTTGAAGTCAAACCACTGAGCACCTGGGAGCAGGTTGCTAAAATGCTAAACAAGCTTTTGACCGTAATTTCTCCTGCAAGTGCAGAGCGCCATTTCTCCAGGTCATTATTTGTGCTGTTCGGTGACTAAGTCCTTCAACAGTGGGAACTTTTCTTGAGATTTAAAAGCAGAAAAGCTTGTCTTGGGCCACCCTCTGGGTAATAAAAGCAAGGTTTGGGGTGAGCTGTACCACTTCTGTAGCTGGGAAACACTCAGTTTCTGGCCATTATCAGTTCAGTAGCTGCTGGTGGTTTTTCTTTATGAGAAGCACTTGCAGACGAGGGACATTAATACTTCTTATGGTGTGAGCTTACTTGGCACATCTTGAAGCTTTTCTTTCATTGGCTGAAGAAAGTATTTTAAAACGCTATTTTCCTACACTTTGTGCCAAGCTGAAGGCAGATGTAAATTAAGTGTAAAATCTAAGAAACTAGTGAGTAACACATCTCTTGCTTGCTAGAGTGTGTTGTAATTGATTAAATAAAAATAAATCTTGTTATGCCAAAATAATTGCATATGTGTGTCTCCATCTTACTGCTAACTCTGTGTTTAGAGCTTCAATAATCAGGTAACTGAAATCAGCTCCTCAAAAGAGATGTGAAATAACCTCATTTCTGCTTTTAAATTGACAAGCCCAGTTTCTTCTCTCTCAAGCCTTGGGAGACCTCAAAGCCAGCAGTCATCCTGCCGTAGTAAATGCCAGTGGGGGGCTGGCGTCAACCCGGGGCTTGGCTCCTGGGAGGCATCACGGCTGTGAAAGCCTCGGCCAGTCGCCCTCGAGACGGCTGCCTCGATGCTGCCTTGGATCATCTAGGACAGCAGCACCTCCCGGGGAACTGCAAATGCTCTTACCCACCTGAAGAAGCTGGCTGCCTGTCTCCCCGGGGGAGCATCCCGGTCTCCCTTGGCTCCCCAAACCCCGCGGCGTGGTCCGAGGACGTTAAAGTCAGCACCCGCCGCGCAGGGTCCTGGGCTCGGCGATGCTCCACTACTTGGTCCTCACCAGGGACGCCCCTGAGCCACCTCTCGAGCTGCCACCCCCTTTTTTTTTCCCTCAAAAGCACTCGTCGTCCTCTTCCCCCCGCGATCCCCCAGCGAGGCCAACGCACGGAACGGGCAGCCAAGGGTTTTTTCAGGGTGGAGGGAAAGGGCAGCCCTGGCACGGTGTCCTGGGGAGCGGGAGAGCCGCTGCAGCCTCGCGGGGGAGTGAGCATCCCCAAAAGGGATCTGCCAACCTTCAGAGGAGGAGCCAGCCTTAAGCACGTTCACCTTGGGAACTTGCTCTGGACTCTGGGAATGCAGATGGTTAGAAATGCTTTTGAAATGCAGATGTTTTCAAAATGCAGATGTTTAGAAGCTGAGCTACTTTCCTCGTGCTTATTCTTCCCAGAAAGCGAGGGGAGACTCAGACTTGCTGTTTCTCTGAGGAAAAAGCTATTTCTGTGCCCAAGCTGCCCTTGTCCTTTTTTGATGCGTTGTGCATTCAATTATTATAAAAACCCTTTCCAGAACAGGGAAAGGCAGCGGGTGGAGAAATGAGATGAAGTTATCTGAAAACCACCCGTAACCTCAATCTCAAAAGCCGCAACGGGAAATCTTAGTGCCGCTCACAAGGATGGCAACACCTATGAGCGAGGCCCGGGCCTGCTGGCAAGGGGCAGTGGCCAGAGCTCCACCCACCCACCCACCCACGCACCCATCCATCCCTCCATCCACCCACCCATCTATCCACTCATCCATACACTCATCCACCCATCCATCCATCCCTCCATCCACCCACCCATCCATCCCTCCACCCATCCCTCCCTCCATCCACCCATCCATTCACTCACCCACCCACCCATCCATCCACTCACCCATCCATCCACGGTGCCGCCAGCTGCATCCCCGGGGGAGCAGCGGCCATCCCCTGATTTCCAATCTCCTGTGGACAAAAAGCTGCTTTTTAAAGCTTCAAGTGTTACTCCGTTACCACGCAGTAAGGTTTGGCTCCCATCACTGGGCTTGAGGAACACCTGGTGCTTTCAGGTTTAGCTCGTCGAGGACCGTTCTCCAAACCAGCCCCTGCCCTGGGGAGGACGGTCCCTGCTCCCAGACAGGACAGAGGGCTGCGCTGGCTGCCTCTCCACGGGTGGGGTTGCTGGTAGTGAGGGTGCAAATTCCCTTTCCCCGGTGGGTTATGTGGTCATCTCTGTTCCCTGCACGCCAGGTTCACTTTAAAAATTCATTCCTGCTCTGCTTTAGTTGTTGCTTGTTGGCACATCTTCTTGTTGCTGTGCCTTCATGGGCAGAATACCTCCGAGAAGGGTGGGAGGATGTGCTGTGAGTTTGGAGGGTATTTCTGTTTTGTTTTGGTTTGTTTTTTTTTTTTTTTTTTGGTGGGGGGGCTGGTCTGATGCCATGGGTCTGGGCCATTTGCATTTGGCAAGCTGCGCTGCTCTTAACAGGGAGCTTCAGTCCTCCTCTCTGAGCTGCTTTGCAGCACGACCTTCTGCGGGCCAAGAAATAATTCGGTGGTATCCGTCCCTAGCTGGGGCAGGGAGCTGGAGGCTGCTGGCACCCGACTGCCACAGG